GAAATGAATGACCATTTTGTATCTGTATGTTCATAATAGTTAAGATAGATAAAGCTGCATTCTCTTGGATCATTGAATAGAGAAATTTGTTCTAATAGTATTTGTGGATAGTATATCATGTCTGCATCTTGCACAATGAATAACCACTAAGACAACAATATGCAATGTGTTAAGTATTGAAACTGTGCTAGTAATCAGTTTTGAACCTGTCTCATTGATATTTGTTTCTCAGTAAAATTATTTTTCAAAAAATACCTAAAAAATTTGAAACTGCTAAAAGAAAACATAGCAGAAATACTTGAAGATGTAGGTTGAAAGAAAGAGTTCCAACAGCATAGGAAATAATATCAAGAATCAATAACTGGGACTTCATATTAAACAGTTTGTTCATAGCATGGGAAATAACCAACAGAGTGAAGAGACAGCTTACAGAATGAGTGAAAATCATTGCCAGCTACTCTTCCAATAAAGAATTAATATCTAGACTATATAAAGACTCAAAATCCTTAATATAAAAAAGTCACACAGCAAGACTCTCCAAGGTTTTGAGTCCAGATGCTGTCATACAACAAGGGGAAGATAAAAAAAAAAGGAAGGGGGTGCCTAAGACCCAGGGAGGATCTGAAGCAAGAATTGGAACTCACAGGGAGAACAGAGAGAAGGACTTCAGTGTACGAGTGAAGATGCCAAAATAGCACTTTCGCCATGAATCCCAGCTCATGGCAGAAGAGGGGTGGGCCAAACCTACAGAGCTATGGTGTACTAACTAGTCACTCCAGAGGCCTGCACAAAGAACACAGTAGTGGAACAAGACCGGGAATGCTGTACAGTGCAGTGGTTTTTGAGTGATTCTCATTCAGGAGGGCATGATCGACCAGTCACCACTTTGGGAAGGGGCCAATCAAACCTGGGACTCAGAGCAGGCATGGGCTGGCTCCATCTCAGGGCTCCAAGTGTCAGGGTGAGGCACAGCAGTAGGAGATGCCCAGGGTCAAGGGGCTGACTTTGGCTTGGCAAGAAGCACCTGGTGCATCATGAGCTGAACACCTCAGTAACCTTCCTCACAGGCAGAAACCAAGATCAGCCTGAGCTTCACTGGAATTAGAATGCAGGCTTGCTTGGCTTATCTACTACCTTGATGTAATTTTACTGCAGGCTTGCTGAGATTACACAACATGGATATGGATGTTCGGTGGTCCTTTTTCTACCAGTGACAGCAAAGACATGTCATAGGTGGACATTCCTTCCTTTTTATTTTTCTTAATTGTTACCATTTTATGAGTGTGAAGAATATTTCTACATTTTTCCTTTTGTTCTTTTCATGTTTCTGGTTTTTTTCTTATTTCTTTCCTTCCTACCTTCTTTACTAGTTTTCCAAAGCTTGCATAATCTTCCTTTGTTCTTTAATCTTGCTTTTAACATTTCCTCTTTTTCTGTTTCTCTATTTTTGACTCTTACTCCCCTTAAAGTTTTTTCTCTGAGTGTAAAATCGATTTATTATGGAGATACTTGCTATGGTTTGTTTTAGATTTTGTGAATAACTACAAATCTTGTTCATATGGTAAAAGTGCAAGTATTTACCACAATTTGTCATTTTCTATGATATGCTTGATGCTATTGATGCAATTACTAATTGTCTCAGCTACTCTTCTCTCATTGCTGGAACAAAATACCTGATAGCCAAAATTAAGCTCACAGTTAGTGGAGGTTTCAGTCCATATTAGGCTTGCTCCAAGCCAGGGTGGCACATGGTAGAGGGCAGTCATTCATGGCAGCAGAAAATGGCAAAACAGAAAGAGCAAAAGGGAAGAGTAGTGGCAACAGAGAGCCAATCTATTTCCTTTATGTTGCATTCAGGTTATCCACCCCAGGATGGGTGTAGCACTCACAGCCATAATCCCAGAAGCATTCACACCCGTAATCCCATAACTGGATCATGAATGAATCACAAACTCCAGAAGTCTGCACCATAACTGCATGAGGCTTTGGGGGGACAACTAGACACAAACCATAACACTAATCATTCTACTTTAGCTGAGATGATGTAGTTGTCCTAATCAGTTGTTCTTCCTTTTATGCCCAAGACTGAGATTGTCTGAGTGTGATGTACAGTACTACAGAGTACTGGAAAAAAGCTAGGGGCTAGGCCAAGTAGGCAGCAACTTCTCATCTCCAATAAATGTAAGAGGTTGGATCTAACAACAGACTCTTAAACCAAAAGTGAGCCATTGTCAAGTCCTAAGGAGTTCTTGATGTTAGCCATAAAGAAACCTACCATAAACAATTTACAAGCATCAATGCAAAAATTAAGCTTTAAGAAAGATAGAAAGTGAAAAGACCCAGAATCAAGATACAATCTCAGACTTCTTGATTACCCAAGGTAAATCCAAAGGCACTTAGGTGGAAAAATTCAAAAGCCACCCACATGATCTCTCTAAAATGATGACAGTAAAAGTAACAAAGCAAGTACATGAATGAGGATACAGAGCTCCAGAAAACTTCAAATAGGAAATAATTTCAGATAACTACAGAGATGATGGCCCTAATGAAGGGTATGGTTACTAATCTAGGTTAGATACACATAAAAAATAGAGGAATTTAGGAAAATGATGGACGTTATGAACAGACAAGGAAAGAAACTGAATGCATGAAAAATCTTAAAACAGAGACTCATACTCAGAAGATTAAAAATTGTTTCATGTATACATAGAAGAACTAACCAATGTAAGTCCAGAACAGCAGATCTAAAAGACAGTTTTGAAGTTAAGTGATTATGAAAAATCACTTAGCTCCATCAATAAATGGACAAATGAACTGAGCATGCACTTCTCAAAAGAAGAAGTACAAATGGCCAATAGGTTTAAGCAAAATTGTTTCACATTGTTAAGCTTTAGGAAAATGCAAATCAAAAGTACAGAGGTCCTGTTTCACTCCAGTTAGAACATTTATCACAGAATCCATTAAAAAAAAAAAAGTCTGATGGAATGAAGGGAAAGGGAAGCCTTCTTCACTGATGGTGAAAATATACATTAATATAGTCACCATAAAAATCAGCATGGATCTCAAAAAACAAAACATAGCACTACCATTTGATCCTATTCAAA